GGGCCCCAAACGTGGCAAGGATGCAAAATGGAGTGGTCAGCAACAATGGGGGGTCTCTGACTTGGACTTTGGAATGTCATACCAAGAGAGGTAAGTGACCTTATAGGACCCTACTACAAGTCTATCGGGTCCTTCAATCTCTGTTGGTGTGTTTCTGGCACGGCCACTTCAATGAAGAACATGGCAACATGGTTGTATTCGTGCTTGACCGCGAGAGGTGGCCTGTCAAAAGCGATGAACTGTAACTTGGTTGGCTTGCCCCAGCCTGCCTCATACAATCTCTCCTGGTAGTCCTCATGGTCGACTGGTTCTTGCTGCCCCTCCCAGATGACCTGCAGCCACTGCGGCACTGGCAGAAGCCCAGCATGTGTGGTGCGTACCCGCCAGAACGCTGGCGGGTCGCGTCGCAGGCAGGTGCGGGGGGAGTGAAGACATAGCTCCAGCCATCAATGCCACCTTATCATGAGCACTCACCACGAATTGGAAGCCCTTGGAGATGTAGTGTTCCGTGCTGCTGCGATCACTGACATAAATACCTGGGCATGTCAAAAAGTGAAAGAGTTCAGGAGAGAATCCTTACTTAGGCCTATCTCGTCACTTACCGCCAACAAGAGACATAGTATGACACAATCAGTTTTTGCTGCCAAAGGTTTGGAGATCTTAGGCTAGTGATTCAGGACACCCTCGCTCGCAAGTCGGGGTCCGAATCCATCGAAAAGCCAATTCCCTTGGTGAAAAGGATGGTCGAGACGACCCTCTTCCCACATGGGACCCCATGTTGAAGAAGAATGAACAAGAAGTCCTAATTCTTCATGGAGATTCTCACAGTGGACCGATCATGGAAAATCATGGAAAATGAAGAAACATGAAGAAACCAATTGAAGATGTTCTTTCCAGTGATCACAACAAGTGGTCCGAAAGGTCCAGAATTCATATCACCCATTGGATGGTCTTTTTGTCTGAAATCCTTTCCCAAAACGGGAAGCAAGGAGGATGGCGTAGATGGCAAATGGCAGATGTGAAAACCAATAGGGAAAACATTGAACAAAAAAAAAGCTTTTTCGGCAAGTTCCAAATATGCCTAAATATATAAGTAATGCTATCTATTAAGAGGATGCCGATGCGATCTCCTGTTCCACCCACCACCTTGTTCTTCGCCGCCAGGGTACCCACCACCTTGCCCTGTCGATGGGCCAAAGCCTTGATGCGCGCGATGGCTTTGGAGGTCTTGGGACCAGCAGTGCCCAGGCCTTCCTCATCCAAGGAGCAGCTGAGATCCATCGGGCCGATGAAGACACCATCCACCTCCAGAAGCTGAGTAGAGGTTCTTTGGCGAACAGAACATCCAAGCAAAATGCGTGGAGAACTCAGAAATTCGCGGAGTGGTGTGTTTTTTTTGGGGGGGAGACCTGGCATGGATTTTCCATGTGGCATAGCATCAAACGCGGTGAAGCCATGGTTGCAGAAAAATGAAAACGGGGCGGCCTCTACTGGGAGGCCAGCTTCTCCGGTACTTTAAGGGGAGGGTACAAACCCTCGAAAACCATGTCCACCCTAGCAGATTACTTCAACAGTCAAAGAATGGTGCATCCACCAAGTCCACATTAACATTTCTCAGGGCAAACCCAGTCCGTGTGGGTGTTGAGATCCCTTTCGTCCTTCCGTCTTTCGTCCTCTCAGTCTCCTTTCGTCTTCCAATCTCTGTAGCGGTACACCTTGTATCTGTGTAGGCAATGCACCTTGTCACCTTGTGATATACTACCCTACTACCCCCCACTGCCGGCCCATCCCTGGGCCGGGGACTCCCGGACTCCACGGCCTCCGAGGTGAGGATGTCGGGCAAGTTCCCCAAGCCCTGCCGAGTCTCGATCATCGCCAGCGTCACCGGCCGCGTCCGCGGGTCCCGCATCTGCTGCGCATAGCCTGGGGGGTGATGTTGGAAAAAGCTGTTAAAGGAAGATTTACACCGAAACGATCCAACACACATCCTAAAACCAATGATATTGTTCCACAGGATCAGCTTCCCAACACTTATACTTCTTCTGGGTACAGGGCAAAACTGTGAGATTTCCTTAACACCCAAAGGGTCTCCAACAACTTCATGAGAAGACTGTGAGCAGATTGTGAGGAATCACACCCGCCACCTATCAATTCCTTTCAACCAACGCCACCTATCAACCAGAGCGGTCCCCACCTTTCAAGGAGACTCGTTCCTTCAACATGGCCCGGGTCGGCCCCCAGGAACGCTCGCCCTGGGGAGCATAGCGGCAGGCGGCCACCAAGGCATCGGCCTGCGCCTTGGTGTTCACCTCAGACCCAAACCCAATCGATGACCCAAAACCCGCGCGGTGGTGTGAAACGAACCGATTCGAACGAGCCGGCATGACCAAAAAGGGAATCCGTGGGAAACGATCGTAACCAAACTAGTTCCTTGCTAGAGTTTCAGTTTCTGAGGTTGTTGGGCCAAAGGGAAGTACGATGGAAAAAAAGAACTGCGGAGATCCTCTGCCGATCCAATTTGCTTCACCTTTTGGTTCCTCCGGGAACTCCTGACGGGTCGACGGGTTGGTGGTCACTCCGATGTTGCCACTCCAGATCCTCCACACAAAGGATAGGAGGAGTAGCTGAATCAGGTCAAACCTGCAAGAAGTATGACGAACAATGTCCAAACTGACACGAATTCGTGAGGATAGGACAGCTGGAGCCCCAAAAGAGCACAAGAGGGTGTCTGCGGCACAATCAGCTAGCTACCAGGTGACCAAAGGTCTGCTAACTGGCCATTGCGGAACAATCATGGAAAAAATCCGGGTACGATCCAAAGCCAGTGCGGAAAGGACAAATCAGCCCAACATCGCTCCAGGATCTCTGCATCTGAGTCGTCTTGAGCCACGTCGACAGATCGGGCTACTCTTGTCAAGTCACCATGGGGCAGATCACTCCGCTGAAGCCTCGGACGAGAGGAGGATGAAGGGTTCCACATGCAATCACTTACCAAACAATAAACTTTGATGGGTACAGCCAGAAGCGATGGGGCACCGCACCGGAAGCGAGATTGGTTGCTTTCCAACATCTCTACAAATGGAAGACCTTCTTCACCTGCCAGTTTTGAACTCCTCTTCACACTACCACCGGTATTAACCCTGCTTCTACACATTCCTAAAACAAAAAAGAACAGAAAACAACTCCATGGTGTCCATGGCCATGCCCATGGCCCCTTGGACCCTGATATATCCAACCACCAAACAGGTGGAGAGAGCCCTCCGCAAAACACCATGGAAGGTGGAAGTGTCTCCATCGCTTAGCACTCGCAAGGCTCGAAACACCTGATGGATCCTGCACTTAGCTTCCAGAAAGGTGGAGCCAAACTTTGTTTTTTTCCTCCCATCGTGTTCTCATCCATTGTTAAACATGCTTGAAAAACCTACAACTGGTGCAGAACCGTTGACGTTCCTGTGAGAGGCTGGTCTACCAACTTCTATCTGCGTTCTTGATGGAAGAAAATACACACCATTCATACCAACCCTAGCAATCGGGGGTGATGCTCCCTCCCCACTCTGACAACATAGGAACATCACATGCATGACTCTCCTTGACCGAACTACCACACGAACGGCCATTCCTGCTACCATTCTTTCAAGAGGCCCCAACTCCCAATCCTGGACATCCTCTACCACCACAATCTCCCCCTCCCCTTCCCGTCCCCCTCCCGCCTGCATCCAAATATCGCCCGACCTCCGAGGCGGACAGCTCCGCCAGTCGCACCAACGCCGCCGACGACGACATGGCCTGCAGCGCCCGGAGCTGACGGATGGCCTGAAGTCCGTCGGCGGTGCCATGCTGCAGGTCCTGGACGCATCGAGGCGGTCGACGGGCGGAAGCAGTCGAAGAAGTCTACAGTAACCTTCTTCGCAGGGGAAAACCACATCATCAAACACCAGAGATGTGTACTGAGTGTACTGAGGCGGTGCTTCCATGGGTGTTCTTCTCAAGCCCAGGCAAAATCACACACGATACGACTGGCCCAAAATGTCCGGTGGCGTCACTGGATGTCTCTCAAGCTTGCGTATGATCTAGACCCTGAATCTAGACAAACATGATGGCCTGGGGCGCGTCAGTCAGCTGCTTCCCAACGGCCTGGTCGCGTCTCCTCCACATACCCTCCCCCAAAACCCTCAGCGCCTCCCTCAACATCCATGAATCCACACTCAGCGAAGCATTTAAGACAACGGATCCCCGAGGGACGACCTTGTTCTCTTTTTGAACATCTGAAGTTCGGCGGTCGTCAGATATCATAAGCCCAGCTTCCATCACGTAGGCGTCATAGTCCAACTGCGCCAAGACTTCGATCGTCAGCTCATCAGCGCAATGGAGCCAACATGCCACCGCCGAGTTCGGCGAACCCGCGGAAGCGCTTCGCCAAAGCTCTCGCAAGCGGCCTCAGGAGCGGCCGCTTAGAAAGGACCAGGTGCCAGGAGTGACTGCGGCCAGCGGGAAAGCTGGTTCCAAGTTACAACTATATTACCACGTGTGTCTTTACATGTCTTTACCTTTTCTATATGCTATATGACTATGCTACATGGTGTCTTTACCTTTTCGAACGCAGGGACCCCTTTAGACTTCGTTTCAATGCGAAAAGGAAAGCTCAAAGCCCTTGGACGAGTCACTTCCTCCGTTCGGTTTTGGCCAGGCACTCATCCAAGCGCACAGGGCTCCCAGTTGGGCACGAACTGTGCAGCTTTGAGCCAAGTCGAGGCTCTGTGAAGCCAAGTCTAGGCTCATCACATTGATAGACAAGAGTCTGAGCTTTGCAAGTCTATGCCCACAATCTACAAACAGTGATCTCCAAGCCATCTTTAGACGTTAATCCCCTTTTCTGTTCTATATATGTCTATATCAATTTGAGGCAAGAAGCTTGTTTAGAAACGAACCCGAGCCACAGAAGCAAAAGACAGCACTGCAAGGACAATCTCTTATATAACCCTGAACAGACCCAATAGCACCTGCGCTTCGTCGTCCCCCAGTTCATTGATCTTTCTTTGCCGTTTTCTCTTTGCCATGGCACCATGGCAGGAGCATCTGTACACAGTATATCACCTCTGAGCTGTGTGTGTGTGTGTGCGAGAAATGTCACATCACTTGTCATAGAACCGAAAGCTTAACTTAAGAGCTGGGATGCCGTTAAATCACTAAACCATAGGGAGCCTAAACAAGAGCATCTCCATCTAGTTCTGAACTTTTGTGAGAGTCTTGTCATTGGAGACTCTCTCCTCCATTTCTTGAAATTGGACATTAGCCCTAAACAATGAATAGCTTCGCTTGCAAGATTCCAGGAGCATCTGAATCTGGCTTCTCGCGTCCTTCTGAATTCGAGCACGGAACTGGAACAGTTTGGGCCACGGCACGGACTCAACGGGTGCAATTCCCTCTCCCGCACTGTTTGGATCGGCAAAAGTCTTGACATTCGCCTACAGCATCCCATGATGGTATTTGAGGGCGGGCCTGGGCAACCGACCATCCATTGTGTGTGTGAACCATACAGGGTGCAATGAAACACATCCACATCACGAAGGGCGCTTTTCAGTTTGCATGCAACGAACCTCCGCTTCAGTATGACTCTGGGTGAATGGAGCTTCTGAGAATCTGGGCCATTGCCATCAACGAAAATGATGGCTGCCACTCCACGCTCTTGTATATTACACTCACTATTACACCGCTAAGAACCAATATAGAACTTGACAGTCGGTTGTTTTGATTCCTTGGGAAGAGCACCTTCTTCTATACAAACCAGTTGTTATCAAGCTCCATGTCCTTGAGTCTGAGTGTACTCTCTTCCCCCTCACCAACGTCACAGGAGCGGTTCAGCCTCCTCCCGATCTCTACAAGGATGGCATGCCACAAGGATCAGAAAACGGCCTCAAAACCTATATTCCGGAACTATGTGGCAGTGGGTCAAACACCAGGACCCTGGTGGCCCACCGAAAATGAGGATAATACAGTAGATCACCGCAAAGCCAACCTACCAGGCTTTTTGAGCTCCAGGCGTCCAGGGTGCCCTCCGCTCCAGGAAAATCCGCTCCGCCTCGGCGGTGGCCTTTTTCCGACGTCGACATATCGGCGGCGGCGACCATTGTGCAGTCGCTCACTTGAAGCCCAGCTCCTTGAGGCACAGCAAGACCTTGAGGCTGGCGGACGAGCGTCCGCGACCAACGCGCGCGAACCCCACTTCAGTGAGGCCCGGCGTCGGCGACGGAAAAAAAATAACGCTCCCGGAATCGAATGAGCACCCGTCCAATGTTTCATGAATCGCCCCATCTGTGGCGTACGTTGATCATCATGGGGAACCGGGTTTGCGCGGTTTGCACCTACTTTCTGGGTGCACCTGTTGGATCTTCACATCAATCGGCTTTGCTGTCGGGGATCCACCAGACTCTGCCAACGAGAAAAAGATGCGTGCACCAGGCTCGATCGAACGACGTAGAAGACCCAGGCACCGAGGACATCCCCCAGTTCAGAGACCCCTGTCCACTTGCGTCTTCCGCATGTTTCAGCAGTGGTATTCAGCAGGGGTTTGGATGTCACGCGTGAAGCCAACGGGGTAAGGGAGCTTTATATACTGGAATACAAGAGAAAGTCCAGTTTCAATTTATCAAACAACAAACATATTATATTAGTTATTACAGTAGTTATATTGTATATAAAACATTATAGAACTGCAGAGGCTAAGTTGGAACTTGGGCTAGACAAATACCAAAGGCCACCACAGTCCATCAGTCATGGTGGAGACAAACTTAGTCTGCCGGATCCTATTGTTTCGCCTAAGGGTTTTTTTGTTACGATTCACCGAGGACCTACACGATCATTGCTCGGTAAGTGACGCCCAGCGCGATGAAAATATCCATGGTGAGGAACACCACCACGTCCATCTTAAAGCGCCAAAGAGCCTCAATGTCCGGTTTCACTTCGTCTGTGGGAGGTGCGAAACCGAAAAACCTCCAACCGCTGCGTGACTCGGCACCATCCCTGCCTCTCAAAGTGGATTTAAAAACCCGGAGACCGGTGGACACCGGTGGGTTGACTTCCTGTCGTTCGTCTATTCTGTTCATGTTCCGTGGTCAACCAGAGCTTCCGATGTTGACCCAAAGCCGACATGCATCAGGTGCGAGATGGTCAGCCTTGTCCAGCCATATATCGCTTTTCTTAGATCTGCACCAAACTCCGGCAGTTGTGCTTTTGCTTTGGCTTCCCTAAATGTGATGGGATGATGTTCGGAGTTGCTGTGATATGGTACTAGGTGGTCAACCTCCGATGCCGATGCTCGGTGAAGACGAAGACGGAGCCGGACACCGGTTGGTCGCCACGGTCGCGCCGCCGCCGATCGGCCCGGCCTGCTCGTAGTATTTGGTCACCTGGCGGCATGCGACCAGTGCAGCCCTGGTTGATCTCAGGTCACATCTTGGTCAAAAACTGAACCAAAAGGGGGCGGGGTGCTCCCTGTGGGACCCAGGGCCAGGCTCGGAGGACCCAGATGTGCAAGGTTCTGAGAGGACGAGCCAGACCTGGCTGGGAATCCGTACTTTCCTTTCGGGGAGCATGGAGGAATATGGCCGATCTTCGCTGATCTTGGCTGGCCCATCGGTGTTTTCTTTGATCTGTGGGATGGGGCTGGAATGGCCTGGATGTGGTTCATTGCCACCTTTTCGACCCGGCTCGAGGCTGAAAGGGGTGGCACATGGGGCTGAAGGACTGGTGACTTCACGAAGCGACTTCGCGACTCGGGACATGGCACTGGACTGGCAAACGTCTCTTTTTCGGCACTGCCGGATGGACATGGAAGATCCTTGAAGTGTACTAAGAAACTCAGGACGGTTCAAGGAAGGACGGTACCAAAAAGTGATAAACAGTTGGGGGGACCATCCAGACTATGCATCGGGCCACATCAAAAATAAAAGACATGAAAACATACAGGTCGAAAGATCAGCAAAACAACCTGCCCACCTACAAATCAATGGTTTGGAACCCCCATACCTTTGGGGAAACAGGGTGTATCTGAGGTGTGTAGATGTTCGGAGATGTTCGTGGACCAAGTGGAGACTGTGGAGGCCTCAACTTGCACAGTGTCAAGTTGATTTGGGTGTGTCGCCTAGGAAACCGACCCCTCAGCGTGGTGTTCCGACCCCCTGAGTCCGCTTCGGAAGTTAGTAGACCCGTCTACCATACTCTACCCATCCAGGGCGAGGGTCCAGGTGTCTCCTCATTTGGATCCGGTGGATGTGAGCCCATTCCTCGAGCAGCAAGGGAACAGGGAAGAACCCGCCGAACGAGAACCCGCCAGACCGTGAGGCCCGCGATGGTGGGCTCAACCCAAATCCGAGATGGTGGCCAATGGAGTTGCCCCGCATATCGAGGCCAACAACTGAACTGTCCGTCAGGAACGAGCAATCGAAGATTTGGGCTAACTTGCAAGTCACGTGCAATGCGTTGGTGCGTCTCCCGTCGTCCAGGTCAGACTGCCCGAAAACGCACAAGACCTCCCGGCCAAATCCAAGCATGTAAGCACCACTGCATCATCTTTGAAGGTGATGTCCACTTGCAGAATGTAGTCTTTGCCAAACTCAAAAAGGTAGCAACCGCCGGAGGTTTCAACGGGCGGACTGTTGCATTGCCCATGTCTGTTCAATCCGCAAGCAACGGCATTTCCATCACTTTGCAGAAGCACTGAATGATAACCTCCCGCAGAAACTTGGGTGTAGCACATTCCCTCCCTCACAGGTGGAATGTCGCATTGTCCATATTGACGCAAGCAACGGCACCTCCCATCACTGTGTAACAGCGAAGAAAATTCTCCAGAACACATTGTTACATCATATACTGCAGAACAGCTTGACTAGAATTTGCTTCTTGGGCCAACGGCTTTCCATTTGCTTCGTTCGTTTCGGTTCGTTTCGCCCCAGATCGCTTCCAATGGCATATGGAGACTTTCATGGTCCAAACCCGGATCCGCTGATCTGCCAAAACGGCTCGCAGTTGGATGCCGTGTCGCTAGTGGCCCACACTGGAGTATATTGCGGCGAAGTAAGTGTTGGAGTGATTCTGATTCTTGAAATTCAATCAACAAGGGATGCTTCCTTGCACCAATAGTCTTTTTGAGTCGAACGAAGCATTGCTTGCAGCATAGGCTGCCCCCACAGCTGCATCTCTTGACGCACAGACCAATACTGGAGAAGACACCTTCTCGCACGGTTAGGCGACTGCTTCCAGGATGCCGCCGCAGGTGACACTTGCTGGGCGACTTAACATGCAACCTGTTGAATGGAAATAGCTTCAATATCCTTACAACATGTCAGAAAAAACCTGCGCATGTCCTTTGACCATAGTTCGAGCTCTCCAAATACCCAACCTCTGAAATCTCTGCGCTGCCTGCCCGCCTCCCACTGAACCCTCCCCGCCTCACCCACAGGGTCCTCAACCTAGGCATGTGTTTCACGCTGTTTCGCCCCAGCCCAAGTTGGCCGTCCTCCTGACCACTGGAAAGACGATGGTTTCCTCCCATCAACTCCAGGTGACGTGTTCTTTAGAGGGGTGGCGTGATATGACCTACTGGCCGCCGCATGGATTTCTTGACTGGACCAAGGACTTGCCATGTTTCACCAGAGGCAACCACCAAGATGAACTATGCTGCGGTGGCTTAATGAACTACTCATGTGCTGATTCTCTCCGATCCTCCACGCATCTGGCCATGTGTGAAAGAATGGTCAAGGAACAGGTGCGTTCAATCCACCGGCTTTGATTGTCTAACCATTTCGCCCGTTTGCGAAACGATGATCTGACGGCTTATCATCCAGTTTCTCAGTGAGAAATTTATTCAGTCTCTGGAGAGGCCAGGGAAATCCGGCGGCCCACCCTGTCTGGATCTCCAAAGCAGGCCCATGAGGGAAAAGAAATGATTTTTGCAAAAATGCAAGCTCCTTTTTGTCTCCGCTGTGACAAACCTGTGACAAAACGGACCCTTCCCCTCCGCCCAGACATATGTTCAACCCGTTTGGCTTCACTCCATCCAAAGCGCTGCATGCTCGCAGCACATGGCAGCACATGGCAGCACATGGGGTCATGGGGCATTCAGATGGGTCTCCCAGACCTTATAAAAAGCAGTTTACCTCTCTAATTTGATTCTCAAAACAACTACAGCGCGAAATCATGGGAGTTGAGTTGACCCATGTGTTTCAATGACTCCCATCGCTGCTACTCTCGGCTCGGCTCAGCGCCATTGGCAGAGTCCTCCCTCCGTCGCTTTCGATTGATCGGAACGCCGCTGGCATCGGTGGAACTCGCCGTGCCGGCGGCTTCAGCCAGGTGAGTAGGCATTTGGAATTTCATCTCATCGGGCATCAACTCCTGTTTCGCAGCGAATTCCTCCCGGATCGACTGTTTCTGGTGAGCAAGTAGCAAGTCTCATTCTGAAGCTGTGATCACGACTATGACTCTACCGTCTATACCCACGCCACTTCTGGGTCCGGAGTGCAAAAAGCTCACGCCACTTCGACATCCCTACGAGCAGTGCGTGAGCTGTTTCAAGAGTCCGACGTCCATCCGAACACGTTCCGGTCTCCTCGTAGTCATCATCATGGCTGTAGCTCAGGCAGATTTGGTCAGCCTGAGACACCCGTCAAACTCATGGGGGCCCTAAAACAACTCATCAAACAATATAACATTGCACAGGGAAAAAAAACACAGATTGAGGGAAAGTGTGTTAGATATAGAGAGAAAAAAACACAAGATTGATGATCTCCTATGTCTAAACCAAACTCAGCAAATCCAGTGAGCGTTGGTTCTAAAGACTAAAATATGTGCAAGAATGGCCGATACGCCGGATTCCTCAGTGGGTATTCTGGGATCCGTGGAAAGGAAATTTGCCAACCTGGCCTTCCCCAACTTCCATCGATCCAGGTCGTAGAGCGCCCGATACTCCGCACTCCGCCGGAATGCGTGGCTCTTGGTCCAAATGATCAAGGAGGCCTCGAGGTGCAAATCTACAGCCAAACATGATGCCTCACCTCTACTCCATGATAACCAAGATCCTGAAAACTGGCTGGTGCCTGGCCATAGTAGACACCAAAGGCATTCCAGTACAGTGATCGTTTGAATCATGTCCTCCCGACACGTGGCACATGAAACCCCGGTGGGTCAAGAATTGACGTCTTGGGCCCTTGGGCCCCGTCTTCCAGAGGGTCGAGCCTTAGATGTACAGGAACAGGCTACTCCCTGCCCTCCACTGGACCTGAAACGTCTTCAATGACATTGAGTTTGAGGTCCGATGGCCAGACGGCAATGGAAATCAGACGGCAAGGGTTCCCAATGAACGAACATCTGCTCCCAACCTACCCAGTGATTTGAGACGCATGGAGAACTCCGTTTTGTCCCATGTCGCCCTTCAAGCATTCGGGTGGGCGAGGGGAAGAAAAGAGCAATCGAAGCAATTCTCATGATTGTCCTCAAATGCATAGAAGAAAAATGGTTGAACCTGTCGGTTCTTCAGGTTGCCCTCTTCCAAGGCGGCCAGAAACTGACCATCAAAAGTGCCTAGTCTCTGAGACTGTCCCCCAAAACACCACCTCCTCCAGCGCCAAGAAAAGTGGAACAGGATGGAACTAGAAACATAAACCTTGCATGTTCTATTTGTTTGAGGGAAAGAGAAGCCTCTTGTCTTCAACTCTCAAGGGATTTTTCGGAGCGGTGTACATGCCACGAACTGGCGAAGGACCAGGAACTCTCTCCCCTTCTTCGATGTCGACAGCACCATGCCGTTGCTTCCCGCAGTGGACCACACATTGCCCCAGGACGTGGCGATAGGTCAACTGGTGCTTCCGGTGGTCGTCGGCATCATAGAGGCCGCAGAAGACCAGCTGATTTCCCTGGAAGGTCTCGCTCTCCTGGGAGGCTTCTTCGGGCGCCGGCAGGTCCACGAACGTCGCAATGGCCCGAAGGTTCGCTGCCGGCGGTCGCGGGGTTGGAAGGGGACCACCGCAGGAAAGAGGACCATTGGAAGAAGTGGAGTACTGAGTACTGACAAACCTTTCTTGGTGAAAGGTTCGAGATTTAGATCCCACATGACCACATGTCTTGCACTTGCACAGGTCCCTTGCGTGGCCAATTAGGATCCCTGAAACGAGCGGAATTGGATTCGTGTCCTTTTTCTGCCCCATTTGGCCAGTATGACTCGTCTTTAATCTTTGCTCGCCCCATGGTCATCGAGTCTCTGAGAGGCCAATGTTGAAGGTGATGTCACACTCATCGATGTGCATGTCCAGATGTGTGTCATCTTTCGCCGAATACTGCACCACGAAGGTATGATGCTTGTCCAAGTGTGAGCCGCCCCAGTTCCCAATGGTCTTTTGACCCTTTAAGGACAGCAATCGGTCATTGTCATCACCGAAGAGCCGTGCGGCCAGAGGTGACAAGACTTTTGATAGGAGCTCATCAAAGAGTGGCAGAAGCCCTATCTCATTGAGCACCAAGCCCTGGTTGTTCATGCTGTTAGGGGGCCGTTCCGGAAGGCCGCTCCGTTGGTAGTTCTTGACCTCTTCCAAGATCTTCCGGCAGAAGTCCGCCGTGAAACATGGAAAGCCTCGGACGAAGCGAGGTTCCGCGGTTGAGCGAACATCGAAGCACCCAAGCTGCTCTTCGGAAGACGCATTTCAGGGTTTAAGGGTCGGAGAAACTGCGGTTATATAGTACTGATCCACTGAACCCCCTGACCTTACAAAGAATAACACATATAATGAAAATCTACCCTTCAACTTCATTGCTGGGAGAATTTCTCAGAACACCAAAGGTTCCTGTGCACGACGCCCTGGGTAAAACTGCTGAAACCATCCAACAAATGATGGGTAATATACACCAAAATCAACATACAAAGGGGTGCCTATTGGAGGATAGGGGTGCCCACTACCCACCCACTTGGGGACTACACACCACCCCTTTGTGACTCCTGGTACATAAATCAACAAAAGACGCACCAAGAGATCCACATCATCTACTCATTCGTCTCTGGGTGGCTAAAAATCCCCGGTGCTAAGGCCTGAAGGTCCAGAGCTGCGGCGTCGAGGTCCACCTGAGAAACCCACCGAGGACAAAACGAAGAAACGAAGACCTCCCCACAATTCCACCCAAACCAACCAAAGATTCGAAATAAAATCACAGTACATGCTGGGCATTCTCAATCACCCCACCCGATCCCTTAAGATCTCTTCCATCCCATGTGAGTTGTGTTTTTTTCCGGCCGGCTTCCAAGTTGACCTTCCATCGCCCATCTCGTATGGAGGGAAAAAAAAGACTTCTCCTTTCCTTCCATCCATCATCCATCACATCCCAGCTACACCACATACCAAATCCACAAATCCTCAAATTGGGGACTCCCCTTGCACACACCTGGGACTCTCCTCAAAGCTGCAGACTCCCCTCGCCTGCTTGAGGTCACCTGTCCGGTGCCATTCCTCCAGGACCTTCGACAGCCGTGGATCCAGCCAACGGCTCCAGTTCGAGGCGTCAAAGAGCTCTGCATGGAGGCACTTCTCCTGGTTCTGAAGCGCAGAACGTGGAAGAAGTACACGGTCTGACAACCAAAAACTTCAGACCACCATGGTTTTCACGTGTCGACAGTCGACACCACCGGTTTGGAGAAAACAGAAGCACATCAAGAGTCAACGCTTTTGCGGCCATGCCTTTCTGCCATAGAGGCACACCGGAACCCATGAATGCAGTGTATTTCTGGAGATTCCAGCCCACGAGTTGCCTAGGGTCTGTTGTTCGTTTGGTCGTGCAGAAGAGCGTTCTGACGTGAGTAGTCTTTGGGGTGGTTATCTTGTCAAGGGATCTTTAGCTTTATATCTCCTTGCAGCGTCTGTTACTCAAACAAATACAGTATCTTGCATGTGTCGCTCACCACTTACACTGCCCCTCATGCTTTCAGGGCCACCCGTTGTCCAGTTAGAAACTGCTTTAGGGCTATGTGGTCTCCCTCATCCCTTTAGATGCTCATTTAATACTCTTCTTTTGAGGCCAAAAGAGACCCACCCCTCCCCACAAGTCCTCCACGTCGGTCTTTTCCGCCAAGTGTCCGGATGGTACTTCACCGTCTTGGGCTTTCCACCGCGCAAGGCCACGAGGAAGTTCCGGAAGTTCTCATCCCCCAAGCTTTCCTCAGACGACGCAAGCAGATTCTAGGCAGGACTTCTCTAGAACACCTCGTAAGAATCCTGGTTCGAACCAGGAGGGCTTTAAACGTACAGACCTTGGCGAAGATGATCTATCTTCTTTTGAATATGGCCGGAAAGCAGCAATAACTAGAAGACACCGCAAGAAAACCCTGAAGCAGCTTCCCAATTCCCGAAGTTTCTGTTGGGGTCCACCTCCCAACCCCTTCATTCCCAACCCTTCCCACCTCGCTCCCTGTCCCGCCAGGGCTCTCGCAGCTCTCCAAACAACCGGTCAAAGTCGGCATCCTGCGATCAGGTCTTCAGAGGTCGGATCTCACGGACGCGACGGACGCGACGGACCCATCAAAATCATGGGAGGACTCCCAAGCAGTTGGGGTGCTTGGGAGAAATGGCGTCCTTGTTTGGCATAGAGGAGGCACGCCCCGTGTCATGAGTGAATCGGAGCTGGCGACCAAGTCTGAACCGTTGGACCTTCGCTCGAATTCGCTCCCTTCGCAGCGGTTTTGATGGTTCCTTTCCTCTGGAGTTTGTCCCGGCGACTCACATCATGCTTCGCGGGCCACCCTGTCCTTGCTCGATGCGGTATTTGCTTCATCTGTTGCCGCAGCCATCATCGTTGCGCGGAATTTGCAGGGAAATAGTCCCGATGTAGCAGCTTCAAATCTGTCCTATTTGTCTCTGATTACACAGTTGTAATATATTGTACTATATTTTATTGCATTATATGGATCTAAAGGAATCACTGGCTAGTCGGATAGCAATCACACATGGTCTTCTCTACAAGTCGGATAGTCGGATAGCAAGCTGTCTCCCAAGGTACTGTGCGCGTGCGCCTTGATACGTTCAGGTTACTGTGCAATCGCCGTTTAAAGTTTTGTTTAGTATCCGTATCTGTGGAGTCATAATCAATCTCAGTCTGAGTGTAGATTCAATTCTAAGTTTAAAGTTTAAAGGATGGTGCTTGAAGTTCTTTGCTAGTGGAGTTCGCGAAGGCTCCTCATTGTCATTCTGGTCTTGATCCACAATCCTGCTTCGCGAAGCAGGACAAGCTCTTATCCCCAAAGCAAGTCAATTGGAACCAAGTGGACAGCCCTTCGCTGTTTTCATGACCACTTGCCAGCGCGGAACGACCACCGGAATGGCCATGTCTCAGGACGTTCGACCACCCGTTTCAGGCCGTTTCGGGACGTCCCAGCGGGTTCGGAGTCCGGAGCACTGAGAAGGGTCCACCCAGTGGTAAGCAAGCACCATGGTGGTACCACTCGAGGTTACGTCCAAAGAGAGTATCCAGCTGGGGCCGACTGAAGATGTGAAGCATCTTGCCCCGACTGAGTGCATCCCGAAAAGCGGCAGGTGTCCAAATCTCTTGTTTCCCAGGTGTCCCAAAAACAAGATGTCCAAACCCAGGTCCCGGACCCATGTGAAGAAGAGCGGATGTCTCGATGGGATGCAAATCAACGGCCTGGGAGGGGTGGAGCGGCCGCAGGAGCAGTACTGCGCAACGACAAATGTTCAACTTCACAAGCAACGCAAAAGAGAAAATATGTAGATAAAAAAGACAAATAAAAAAGTTGCACATTCTTCATGTGTTTACCTTTTGACTTGTTTTTCGTAATGTTGTATGTTATGTTTCTTCTTCAAGTCCACAAGTTTATGTCCTGTGCATCACCTCTTCTCGTGGCAAGCTAGAGGAAAGGGGTCTGAAATTCAGACTGTCCACTTCCACCTTTGCTGGACAGAAAGAGAGAGAGAGAGAGAGAAATATATTTAAGGCACAAGCCGCAAGCACTTGGCCCTCCAAACAAATACATTGACGTGACTCATGGGTGGTTTTGCCACCCATGAGCAAAGGTTGTTCCGGACGATCTCCCAACCAAGGTCTCAAATGTGTTCAAGCTGGTTGCATCAAGAACCACCGCAAGTCGCTCTGTTAGTTCGCTTCTCCGACTCATGTTGGGTGGCCCAGCGCTGCTTTCGCGTGGCCCTTCGCTGTGTTGTCCTCACCGCTGGTCGGGCACATCCGCGCCGTCCATTCCTGGCATGTGGGCTGTGGCGGAAAATGGCACACCAAACCGCAAAAGGCCAATGAGTCCAAACCAAGCGGGGGTATTCCTCCAACCCATCTGGCTGGCCGAAAATCAGACCAAACCGACCCAAACCGACCCGTTCCTGGCTGGACATGCCCAAAACGACCGGAACCGAGGTGCGGTGCGCAGAGGCTGCGCACAGCGCCTGGACGGCCAGGAGATAGAAGGGCCGATGGTCCTGACATGTCACAGGTGGAAAGAGATTAAGGAAATGAGGCACAAGTACTTCCCACATGGTGGTACGTCAACGGATCGGTCCCAAGCAAGAGGGGCCATTGTTCCACATGTCATCATACCACAAACCTGGGTGTATGACCACTTGAGACCAGAACATTTGGTGGATAGGTACAGATCACGCCCCAAGACGGGGCCGCAAGTCTGGATGTTAACAGAGTAATCCAATGCCCAGAAAAAACATCTTTGTCTAGTTAGTTCTACACTGCTCGTGACCTGGTCAAATCCAGTCCCAACAACTGACCTGTTGGGAGGCTTTCCTCATGACCTTGCGGCCTCAAGTTTGGTGAAACTGATGAACCAGGTGGTTACACAACTGCATCTTTGATCATTTGTTCAGCTTCCTTAGGACGAACAACCTGCGTCCAGACCTGGTGCTTTGGGGCCGGACCTGCTTTGTGCCTGATCTAATCTGGATTGTGATCACCACCATACTCCATTTGCACGAACAAAGGACACAGAAGGCACTTCAGCTGTGAAATGGATGTGAAGGATCAAGAGGAGTTGTTCTGCAAGCTAGGCACGGATCCTTTCTTAGAGCAAACCCCCACCACCACCCGCCTTTATACTTGGGGACCACTGTCAAGGACACGCTCATCAAAGCTCTCTCTCTCTCTCTCTTGCACTCCTCGCGAATCATCCTCATGCCGGCACGTGCACGGTGATTCGAGGCCTCCCAAGGCGTGTTGTTTGCCAGTCGTGGGAAGTGGCTGTCACAGGAGTTCATAGTGTAGAAAGTGAGATCAAGCTTTTGGGGCCTAAATCTAACCTATTTCTCCTGGAGTGTGGTTGACAAGCGATCCCTGTCATTTTGAGATGGCAGCACATCGGCACACATCGGCGATGAACGAGTCTTCTTGCCTAACCTCCAAGCGATTTACCCGGGTGAACGGTGGTATCCGCGGTGCTGTAGAAGACTGAAGAGTCCCCCTTCTTTCTCCCAAATAACCAAGCAGCCACCAGTTCTGGCATGAAATGGTTCCGCTTATCGAGACGGAAGAGTTGAAACCCGCCAAAAGGGGGTCTTCTCCAAACACCGCCGTTGGGCCCAGCTCGGAGCTGGAGCGAGCTCCGAACGCCCTACACTACGGAACTGACTCTCCGGTCCAAACCTCCGACTCTCCGGACCAGTCTTTCCATCTTCCGCTGTTGGGGTCATGTTGAGCATCTGTTCGATCGCGAGACGGTTTCCGGCTCCCTACTTAGGGAGCCCCTTCTTTCTCTCACAGGTCTAGTTCATCCGTCTTGGCTGGCAAGATTCAGGTTCTCCATGAGAAAAAGAGTTCCCTTTGAGAAACAGCTTGGACGGGCTGTTTTGCCCATTCTGGCTTCTCGCGTCACCTGCCGCAGGCTTCTCATGTCGATGTGCTAGTCTCAAGTTTTGGCATTCGAGTGCCCCCTCATGTGACCTGCTTTTCAATTGAGTCATGCTCAATTGTACCGTGGTGCTAAACTTGCTGGACCAATGCGAATCCGAATCCGCATGCTCCACGTATATATATATATAAGCCTCCAACGTTCTTTTGGGTGGAGCTGTTCTTAATCAGTGCTCAAATGACTCACAAAGACATGAAAGCCCGGACCAGTGTCACAGAAGATGAGCTGTCTCCTGAATATGGCGCACATGTTTGAGCGCACAACGGGCACCGAAAACTGGTGGAAAAGAGCAAGGTGCCAGGAGCGAAACTGTCTCATAGGGAGCACTACTTTCCGACCTGTGCCGGAAAAAATTCACCAGGAATTGTCCAAATCGATACTTTGGCAGTGGTCAAGCCACGTGTCAAAATCAAAACACAAGAGAACCCGAATCCCCCAAGCTTCGCGGCCACCTAGTTTAGGAATCCCCGCAGACCGGACCTGTGGAATGCTTTTTGGGAAGATTCCTTGGATCATTCTTCGAGAAAAAAGATGTTGTTGCCATAATTCTATTTAGAAACCGTCTATCTCTCTCCTCACATTTTAATAGATTTTGGAGGAAGTCTCTGGTCCACATATTGGATGTTGGGATTTTCGGAACATGTGGAGCTCCCCGATGAGACGACCAATGGGGGTCGGTGATTCGACCGTGCCAGTGGAGAAGATCGGTGGCAAAAGCAACTCTTCTTTCGTCCCATGTAGAATGGATGTGTTTTTGCATGTAAAAAGAACTATCATTAATCAAAATGTAATGATGTATTCAATGTATTCTGTTCTTCCTGAAGAACTCTTCTTTCCTGTTCTCTGCTACAGTCAGACCATGGATACATGCTTGAACACCTGATCACCACTGGTGTTCAAGCAAGGAACCAGCAGCGGCCACAGCGGCAATGGCAACAACAGCTGCAACGGCAATGGCTGCAGTTGCCACAAAACCAACAATAAGTGTTGCCTTCGAATGTGCAGTTTCTTTCTTAACAAATGACTTTCAGTGACAATCTTGAAATCTGACCTCAGACGATCTCCAACACCAGTTTCACGTATAATATGCGTCCGCTTGCGGCTTGAACTCACACAAGCTCTTTCACCACCGATTCTTCAGCCTCTGATGTAAGGCTGCCTTTGCAAACCTCAGGGAGGTGTCCAACCTCCAAGTGGACCAACACTCCGTTGCCAAAGCCAAAACCTTGGGCTCCAGCTTCGTGACAGGTCCCCACAAGAAAAAAGACCGTGAAACCACTACCCTCTTGTTTTCAACTGCGGAAAAGAGAGCTCTTGGAAGGAGTCTCCTTTCTGAAGACCAAGCGGAACAAATCATCCGCCATCCATTGATAAATATATCTAGCAAACTGCGGTTCCCACATAGATTCGTTTCACGGTGAAATGGATACATGTTTATTTGGAGGAATCGAAAATCCGATACTTGTTGGATGTCAATCAAGCCTCACTCCCTTCAAAAAGTTTCTTGGCACATTGCTGACATGTCATGCTTTTCAGTGTTCGGTCCAACTTCATTGGGGCGTGCTCAAGGTTTTTGTATCAGTTCAGTTCATATTTATGTGGTGGTTCCTCAACAACTTGGGGACCCACAGAATTTCGACGAATCCAGTATTGCGAAAGCCTAACTCACCTTCTATCTACGTTGTGCGATGATGTCACTGGCAACTGAGCAAGCATCGGATTTGCTAGTTGGATCTGCTGTGCTTCAACGATTGGTGTGGCTTTCTATTCCATGTTCCAGCATTCACAGATCAGCAGCATCCGCACAGCAAACCCCTTACTGTCCACTTGGCGCCACTTTCAAAGCGAAGTGGCTGCCTTTTCAGGTCTTTTTGACATCTCTGACTCACTCGATGCTTGGTGTGAATGGCCGCAAGAGCTCCTCTCGCTGCAAAAGAAGAAGAGTGCTGCAGGCAGTTTTTCTCCCCGAAAGAACGACCATCCAAAAGCCTCCTCTATGGGTCACTCGGGGTCAGTTCCCCACGACGCTTGGGGGACCTAGATCGCTTGACCCGCCCATGTGAGTTGTCAGGTGACGGAACTTATTGTCTTTAATAGCTTCTTGTTACTAGTAAGGCACCTGTTACTACTAGTAAGGCACTTGTTCCTAGTA